GATTAGGTCCATACCTTTCTTGAAAAAATACGCTGATCATCTTTCCATATGAGTCTGATAATACCGCGTAAGCCTTTTAAGAAATCAGCTTCCTAAATCAGATCTTCAGTGTCAGTCCTTCTGTTGTTGCTTCTAATTGATCAGTTATCTGTAGAGCTAAACGGACAGACTCTAAACCTATCTTAGTATGCCATAATAATATTGCCAATTATAATATGGGGTTTTTGAACATTTAAAACACTAACAACATGCAAGATAAAAAATGTCAACAGAGGTTTTACTCACTGGTTCGACAGTATGTATTTGAAAGAAGATACAAAAAATATGCTTGATAATGTCTAAATCAAATGCTCAATTTATGTTTGAATATATTTATTTATTAGGAGAATAAAATTCAAATACTTACCCCACTAGAATGAAATATCACCTCAGAATCATCATTGACTTTGGATATTAATAACTTGAGAACATCAAGATTATTATGAGAATAACTAAAACCATTCTTCCAAAAGGCTAAACCCCAACCCTAAAGGCCCCCCACACCATGCAATAATGCTTCGTAAGATTTTTCTGTACTCTTTACCTCTGTAAATAATACAAAATTATAATTAATACACTTAAAATACATACAACACTGATATTGAATTTGCTTTAATTTTTATCTTGAGAGTTAAAGTACATGGTAACGGTTTGAAAGCTATCATTTGATTGGCACCAACCTAGTAGTGGGTAACAAGCAGAGAGTATGGTTTTGGATTTGGCAATTAAAGTAGATTCTTCCATTACATCATTTTTGGACCTGAAAGACAATAATATGTGTTGAAAGTGTAACATTTCGATTATGTCACCATTAAGTGGTGCAAGTTAATGGGTAATTTATATGGCCATAATGTTGTGGTTTGAAACGGAAGTAACGGTCTGTTACTTAACCTATAATGATGACACGTAGGTTATATATATGTATGGTCCTCCCACTGTTCCTGTGACTTGAGACACTACACTATCTAGTTGTACAGGAGACTAAGTGGTAGACAAAATTCTAAAGTTCTTTAATGTTCTTCAAACAATGCAACAGAGATTACAACTATGGTTGGAGATGCTCGATCATATGCTTCCGCTATAAGGTTAGATTACATGTATTGTTTTTTATATTTCTAACATTTGGTATCAGAGCCTATTTAATATCTGTCTAGTTGATAGAGTTGCATATGATATATACTTTTGAATTTTTATATATTATGCAATATATGTTTTACTTGTTTTTTCAACGTGAATATGTTTGTAGCATGATATCTGTTGCTATGATATTTTTTTACAGTACATAAGTATATATGCGTATATGTACTTTGTTATCAACAATGTATATTTTTTTCTATGAAACTGAATATATGCATTCAGATGTTTGAATAAAAGAAAATACCTATTGGTTTTGTTATCAAATGTCATTGTTTTTGTGTCGTTGACTTGCCGGATCCATTTCTGTCCACCAACGCCGTTGGAGATCCATAAGACGTTGCAATATACACGGTAAAAGATGATTCGAGTGCCATTGGGCTGTGGTGTGAGGCGTAATTAAAGCTTTGTTACGTGCTAAAAGCATCATCGTTGGCCACAGCAAAAACAATGGCAACGGGCAGTGCCGTGGGGCGTTGCGTCATGGACACTCCGTTACCACCATTACTGGTTGGTTATCTGATGGCAGATGAAGGGGCGCTGTCTTTTCTTCCTCTAGTTGCACTGTAGTTTTGATTTCCATTGAGGCAGGCAACATTTTGTCAAACCGTTGTGTGGTTGGCAATGTGATAGGGTGATGATGTTAACACATACTGATGGCAGTTACTCAAAGCATAGCAGTTAGCACTGTTACACTGACAGTTAAATTTTGTTAGCTTTAGTTAGTTAGTTTGTTAGTCCTTTCTGTACAGTAGATGTGATACCCCGATTATTTGAGTATTATAATTTGTTATAAATAAACTGTTTAAAAAAAATTACTACTATTATGTTATGGTTATTAATATTCCTAAACCCATAATACTTATATGATAATAATAAATTAATTTTTAAATCCTAAAACTAATATGTTTATATTATATTAAATAAATTTAACTTAAGTTACAGTAGCAGCGTATGTTAGTTTATTAGATTAATGTTAGTTTATTAGATTAAGTTTGAGATATATATGTCTAGTCAGGATGTAATTCTATGATATTAGTTACCTAAACCTTTTTAAATTCACTCTCTAATTCTTAACACACGCTGCTACTGGAATCAAAAGAAATACAAAAACAAACCCTAGCATATACGACACCTTCCCCTCCTAAATCATCATCTTCGCAGTCGACACTCTCATTCTTTTCATTCCCAGTTTCGGCTTCGACACAAGAGAACTCCTGGGTGTCAATTTTTCTTCCATCTAGTGTCATCTATTCGTAAGTTTAATTATATGTTTGTGGTAAAATTTCTATGATTATATGCTTATGTGATTTCCTGTGTTTATATGGACATTCAATTTGGTTTAGAAGGAGAGTTTGCAGAGGAGCAAACGTAGGACTCGGGTCAAATGTGTGATTTGTTTTACGTATCCAGATAAGTGCTTATGTCTATCAAAAATTACTTTTACTCTGTAAAAATATATATATACTTCGTGATTTTGTGGGCATATGTGATATGGTATTTTGTGGTGATTGAAAAGGATAACTTTTACACAATTTGATCATTGCCTGAGAAAATTCTGACTGGCGCAGCTGGAAAGAAAAATTCATGAAAATTGTTTCCTAAATTTGTTTTTGCTTGAATTTTTTTTTATGGAGAATCTAGACTTGTTATATTTGATGTTTATAAAAAGTTTTGGTTAAAAATATGTTTCGGTTTTTCCAGAATAATTTCGTAAAGTTTAGGCAGTGTTCTGCCAGTTAAATTACAGTCTGGTGCTGTGTTGAGAAGAATTTTGGTAAAAATACTTCTAGGCCTTAGATTGTCTTGAAACTTTTTGTGTGCATTCTAGACTCTTTATACTACTTATCTGGAAAATTTCATATGAAAATGTGTTACTGATTTTTCCCAGTAAATTCTGCAATTCAGGTCATAGTTTCTGAAAATTTTTGACAGTTTCTTATTTGAGATATTGAGAAGTTGCTTGCTTGTGAAATATCATTACTCTTGTTTTTATAAATGTGGTGAATAAAAAGGTTTTTTTTTGACTCATATAGTATCCAACTATGATTCTGGATTTACCCAATTTGTTGAGGAGTGAACAGTTGAAATATATACTAATTCACTAGGGAGCCTAAAAACTCTCTGTTAATTGAGGAGTGAGCAGTAGAAACATATCCTGTCTCACTAGGACTTTTAGTCCTGTTGTTTTGAGGAGTGGTTAGCGGAGTCTACCACTAGGGTATTTACCCTGTTGAGTAGTAGTCAGTAGAAACGTATCCTGGCTACTAGGACTAGTTACTATTCGTTGGGCTTGGAAACCCATTGGGGGTGTGCACACTTAAGGTATTAGTTCTGTTCCACTTAAATGGGATTTTTTGTGTAGTGTTCAGTAGAGTGAGTACTGTTCACTAGGGCTTATCAAATAAGACCCTGCCTATTATTTGGTTGGTTTAAATGGGATTTTTGCGTAGTGTTCAGTGGAGTGATCACTGTTCACTAGGGCTTAAGTAATTAAGACCCTGCCCATTATTTGGTTTGATATTCATCTATACTTCCTAAAAATGATTTCTTTTGGAAACGTGTAATTTGGAAAAGAGTTGATTTGAAATCTTAGGTTGAGAAAATTCTATGTGGATTGTGATGTGGAGTAAATATTATGTTGAAGTTGAGAGAAGTTAAGCCTTGTGGCTAATTATTTTTGAATGTGAATATATATTGTATTAAATCCATTTTACAGGGTGGAGTAAACCTTACTTAGCAATGTTTTGCTAATTTTATTGTTTCGTGTTTCTCCTGTTTGTGATTTGTGCAGGTGAATGAATAAGTTGTTGGCTGAGAGCGCGCCTTAGAACGTAGTAGCTATTTTATTTATGATGTTTTGGAGTTATTGATTCATATTGTATTTCTTTAGTTTTTGGATTAAGTTGTGATTGAATGTTATGGTTTAGAGCCTTACATCTAGTCAGTGTTAGATTAGATGTGGCGGTTTCACCCTCATTTATTATTAAGGACTTAAAGTTATTTTGTAAGTTGAATTATTAATTAGTTTCTAAATGGTGGTATGCGTACTTCAGGAATTCTATTCATGGCAGTTTCTGTTATAGTAGTCTATTTATAGCATGTGTTGAGAATTAAATTTGGGGGTGTTACAGTAGATATAAGGGCTTACAGTTGTAATCTGCACAATGGTTTTTTTCTAGTTCTTAAATACAAAAGCTTTCTCCTCTTATCTCCCTCTCTTTACACCGCTGAGGAAATTTCAATTTTGGTCATATGATTATAGGGGTCTTGTTAATTTCAGTCCCTGACTTTTAAAAATGTCAATTTAGTACCTTAACTATGCAATTTTTGTCAATTTTAGTCACTCCGGCCAAATTGCCGGTTAAATTTCGGCGGAAAATTTTAATAGTTAAAATAATGATGGTATTTTGGTCGTTTCACGCCTCTTTTCTTCTTCTCCGGTGAGTCCATCTCTTTCTATCCCGTTTCCGGTGTTCTTTCTCCCTCTAAACCCTATCTTTAATATCATAAGCCTCCTTTCCCTGTCATCTTAGTTCATTGCATTCGCTGGAAACGAAAGAGGAAGGGATGGACTCGCATGGAAAGAATAAAAGAGACGTGAATGATCAAAATACCCTCATTATTTTAAAAATTAAAATTTTTCGGTGAAATTTGACCGGCAATTTGTCCGGAGTGGCCAAAATTGACAAAAATTACATAGTTAAGGTACTAAATTGACACTTTTAAAAGTCAAAGACTGAAATTAACAAGACCCCTATAGTCATATAACCAAAATTGAAATTTTCTCTTACACCACTCAACATGGTATCAGAGCCCTTGAGGGCATGGCTTGGCGCACACCTGCTGTAAACACCATGGCTACAGGATCTAACATCCCAAATCCAGCACCAGTCCCAAACCGTGCCTATGATCCCAAAGACCGAGTCGATCCCCTTCATCTTCACCCAAACGAGAGCCCCTCATTGCAGTTTGTGACTGCTCAGTTGGAGGGAAGGTCCAACTACCACCCATGGGCCAGGGTGATGGAGATAGCCTTAAGGTCGAAGAACAAGTTGGTCTTTGTGGATGACACCATGGCAGCTCCGGTCAAAACAGATCCTAGATACTTCTATTGGGACCAATGCAATACCATGGTCTTGTCATGGATTCTTAGAGCCGTTTTACCTACGATTGGAAGAAGTGTGCTATGGATCAACATAGCAAAGGGAATCTGGAAGGATTTGAAGAAACGGTCCAGTCAGCAGGACGTCTTCCGCATTGCTGAAATACAAACAGAAATATATCAGATTAAGCAAGGTAATTCATCTATCAACGATTATTTCACTCAATTGAAGCTGAATTGGGATGAATTATCTGTGTTAAGACCAACACCTTCTTGCGAATGCTCACCAAGCTGTGAGTGTGGTAGAAATGTGTCTGAAAAAGTTAGGGCACACCTTGAAAATGATATGCTGTCATCCTTTTTAATTGGATTGAATGAGAAATTCTCCAACACTAAACGCCAGATAATGTTAATGAAACCTTTACCTGATGTTGGAGAAGCGTTTGCCATGGTTTCTCAACAAGAAAGGTAGATAGCAGATGAGTCAAATACTCTGGGAGAAAATCTGACAGGAGCAAGCGCTTTTCTTGTTGATAATTCTAACAAGAGGTCTTTCCTTGGACAAAAGCAAAAGCCAGTGTGCAGCTATTGTGGATACACTGGACACACAATTGACAAATGCTACAAAAAGCATGGATACCCTCCAGGCTGGAAATCAAGAAACAAGAACTCAGGGTCTGTCAATCAAGCTCAGGCAGTTCTACAAGAGGAAGGGACTTCACAGAGTATCCCTTCTATCCATCAAGAAGATTTTAGAAGATTTTTGGAATTCATGCAGTATGAGAGGGTCAACAACACTCCTCTCAGCATTGGTCCTCAAGCTAATGCCATAGCAGCAAGCTTTGTTCCAGACAGCAGATTGGAAGGTAAAGTTGCTAATCCTAGTTGCAACAATTTGACAAAATCTGGCCCATTGTGGATCCTTGACAGTGGTGCCACACATCATATTGTATGCAATATGAATCTATTACAAAATCCCATAAAGGTTGAAGGAATTCTTTTTGATTTACCTAATGGAAGTCAGGCACAAGTTTCCCACACTGGGACTGCTCAGTTATCTGTGGATATGGTGCTGCTGAATGTGTTATGTGTACCTGTTTTTCAGTATAATTTAATATCACTGGGTGAGCTGACTACTAGATCAAGTTGCCACATATTGTTTCATTCTAATAAGTGCATTATACAGGATCAACACCCTGGGAAGATGATTTGTATGGCTGAATTGAAGAAAGGACTCTACCAGCTCATGTTTCCTGTTTTAAATCCTTGTATACATACTGTCAATCTTTGAAGTCATTGGCATGTTAGGTTAGGGCATCGTTCTAAAAACAAAATTAGATTGTTGCACACTTTAGACAGTAACATTTGTAATGACAAGCCAAGTGCATGTGAATATTGTCATTTTGCAAAGCAAAGAAGGCTCCCTTTTTGATTTAGTTCATCTATTTCAGAAAATTGTTTTGATCTGGTGCATGCTAATATTTGGGGACCATATCATACCCCCACCATTTATGGTCATCAATACTTTCTAACTTTGGTAGATGATCATAGTAGGGAAACTTGGGTGTATCTGATGAGAAGGAAAAGTGAGGTTAGACAGATTTTGCAGACCTTCTATGCCTTAATCTACACACAATTTGGAAGGAACATTAAATGCATTAGATCAGACAATGGCAAGGAGGTTGCTCTGGATGACTTTTTTCAAAGTAAGGCATTCTTCACCAAATATCTTGTGTATATACCCCTCCCAACAAAACAGTGTCGTTGAAAGGAAGCATGGTCATATTCTAGCTGTGGCAAGGTCTCTGAGGTTTCAAGCCAATCTACCTGAAATTCTGTGGGGAGATTGCACTCTTCACGCTGTCTATATAATTAACAGGCTTCCATCAGTAGCCTTGGAGAATAAAATTCCATATCAAATTCTATTCAACAAATTACCCCAGTATAATCACCTTAAAGTCCTTGGTTGCCTGGCCTTTGCTGCCATTCCCAGCTGCAAGAGAGACAAACTATCTCCAAGAGCTAAGAAATGCATTTTTTGGGTTTTGCTACTGGAGTGAAGGGATACAAACTCCTTGATCTATAGACAAGAGAAATAATATTGTCTAGAGATGTTTGCTTCTATGAAAGCATATTTCCCTTCCAAGGGCCACATGACAAACAATCTGATGATACAGTGTTACCTTCTAAACAGATAACAAGTTCAGACATGGATGAGCATATCACTGATCATACTGGTTCTATTGATGGTCATACCATTGAGGCCCAACATCAACTGGCGAGCATACTGGTTTCTCTGATGAACCTCAGCCACAGCCATCACCAGACAACCAGCACATGGGGTCCAGTGCAGAACCAACACAAATATCTCAGCCTAGGAGATCAAACAGAACAAGAGCACCTCCTACATACCTAAAGGACTACACTTGTCAGAATGCAGTTGCTAATAAGACATCTCCACATGTTGTCTCAAAGGTTCTTTCATATGACAATCTGTCACCAAGTTTCAAAGCATTCACTGTTAACACTTTGCAGGCCAAAGAACCAAAGCACTATAATGAAGCCATAAAGGAAGATTGTTGGAGAAAAGCTATGGAGGCTGAAATCAAGGCCTTACAAGCTAACAATACCTGGATCATCACAGACTTGCTTCCAAATAAAGAGCCTATAGGCTGCAAGTGGGTATACAAGACTAAACTAAAGGCTGATGGGACCATAGAGAGGCACAAGGCCAAGCTAGTAGCAAAAGGGTACACTCAAACCGCTGGTTTGGATTATTTTTGGACACGTTCAATCCAGTGGCCAAAATCACCACAATTAGAATGTTATTGGCAGTAGCAGCAATTAAAGGTTGGGCCCTTCATCAACTAGATGTCAACAATGCATTCTTACATGGGGACCTAAATGAAGATGTCTACATGAAGCTACCTCCTGGCTTTACCCCTCTTAAACATGGACAGGTATGCAAGTTAGTGAAGTCACTTTATGGCTTGAAACAAGCAAGCAGACAGTGGAATATCAAGTTTACCCAAGAATTGTTGCACATGGGCTTTAAGCAAGCCATTTATGATTCATCCTTGTTTGTGAAAGGAAAAGAGGGTGACTTTGTTGCTCTGCTCATCTATGTTGATGATGTTGTCATAGCAAGTCCAGATGTTAATCAAGTTCAGCAGATTAAGAAGCACCTAGACACTTGTGTTCCATATTAAAGATTTGGGGCCATTAAGGTTCTTTCTAGGATTGGAGGTTGCAAGGAATAGTAATTGCATTTCCATGACTCAAAGAAAATATGCTTTAGAACTACTTGAAGAAACAGATTTCTTGCTTTGCAAACCAGCAAAAACCCCCATGGTCACCTCTGTTAGGCTCAGCAAAAACATTGGGGAAAAGCTAGAGGATGTCACACAGTACAGAAGATTGATAGGAAAGTTGCTCTACCTCACCATCACAAGACCTGACATCAGTAGTTATGCTACTCAACAATTGTCTTAGTTTCTGGACTGCCCCACCAACATACACATGCAGGCAGCTCATAGAATCCTAAGATATATCAAGGCCTCCCCAGGACAAGGTCTATTTTTTTTCAGCTAAATCCTCCTTACAAGTGAAGGGATTTATTGATTCAGATTTGGCTGCTTGCCCAGATACTAGAAGATCAATTACAGGTTTTCTGCACTTTTCTGGGCACATCTCTAGTTTCATGGAAGTCCAAGAAACAAATCACCATCTCCAGGAGCTCATCTGAAGCTGAGTACAGAGCCCTAGCCATAGCAGCTTGTGAGATCCAGTGGCTAATATACCTTCTGCAAGATCTGGGGATAGTTGATTGTACTCCAGCCACATTGTATTGTGATAGCAAGTCAGCCATTGCTATAGCTGAAAACCCTGTATTTCATGAGAGAATAAAGCATATAGAAATCCATTGCCACTTGGTAAGGGAGAAATTACAGAAAGGAGTCCTCAAACTTCTACATGTCTCTACAACCAACCAGCTGGCAGATGTTTTTACAAAACCACAAGCTCAGACAAGCTTCAACAATCTCATTTCCAAGCTAAACCTACACAATGTATAGTCCAGCTTGCGGGGGGGGGGGGGTGTTAACACATACTGATGGCAGTTACTCAAAGCAAAGCAGTTAGCACTGTTACACTGACAGTTAAATTCTGTTAACTTTAGTTAGTTAGTTAGTTAGTTTGTTAGTCCTTTCTGTACAGTAGATATAAGGGCTTACAGTTGTAATCTGCACAATGGTTTTTTTCTAGTTCTTGAATACAAAAGCTTTCTCCTCTTCTCTCCCTCTCTTTACACCACTCAACAGATGATGTCTGTGATTAGCACCGTTGGGTGCTGTGACCATCACCTGCCTTTGACTGCTGCTAGCGCCTCTAGTGTTGAAGTCTGAGGAAGGCGTTGGTTTTACTACTGTTTGCGTCTCAAGGTGATAAAGCTTGGATTAGTGTCTCGTTGGTTCCTTGGTGTTTGGTTGTCCGACATTTAGCAGAAGTTGGTGTCTTCCATTAAAAGACATAAGGTCGTCATTTGTTGTTTGTGCACACTACGGATTATAGACATAATCAGTGGACGTCTAGGTTTGGCTATGGATTGGAGAAACATATGGAAATTAGCATAGGGCTGGCAGCCATGGCTGGTGTGCTCCATGGGTATCGGTATACGGGTCGTCGGTATGTCTTTATTGGAGTGGCTGTCCACTGGCGTCTGCATAAAGTCTAGCTAGCTACTAGTATTTTGCCGTTGATTCCGGTGGGCACTCCGGGCAGTAAACGGGTTGACAAGCTCTGGAGGAAGGCAAGACGGAGGCTGCGTAATTAATCCTCCATTAATGATCTCAAGGACATTTTTCGTTCTTCATCAGAGAATTGGTACACTCCTTCTCACCATTATTATTTAGCAATCACGGTAATAATTTCCTTGCCTTTTATTTTTAAAATTGGCAAGTTTTGGAAAAGTCTTAAATTATTTGTTTTGTTATTAAAACATATAATATAATGGTAATAAAATGAGTAATTGGAAAATAAGGGTGCTTTGTTTTATTGTTATTAATGGTAATTGAGCAATTGTGGATCAATTTAAGCATGATTTATTATTTTGAAAATTCTTTTTCATTTCAGATTGTCATGATAATATATGCTGAAATTTGGTTAATTCCTATTGTTATTGTATTGGTATATTATCGGTAAAAGGTAAATTGCTATATTTTGTGATTAATTGTCATGATTGGATGATATATCGAGATGTTTGATGATTGTTGCAATCGTTTGCATTTACCGTCTTTATTACGGTAATTAGTAAGGTCATAAAGTTTTAGTGAAGAACCGCTTTTTATGCCTTTATATCAGTTTATTAAAGTTGAAAATGTTGGATATTATATTTTTCAACATTAATGTTTTTCGGATTTTAATTTTATTAAGTTTTAAAATTTTCCCGAAAAATGTTTTAAAGGTTTGTGGTGTTAGCAATTGTTTTTCCATAATAAATCTCTTAATTGTTATAATATTATGTGATTATTATGGTTATTCATTGCAATTTCATATTTTTACAACTTTGCCATAATTCAATAATAATATTTTTAATTATGAAGTGTGATTTTGAATCGCAAATTTGGAAAATGCATATGTTTATAGCAATTGGATATTGTTTTCCTTTTCAGTCTTGCCACAATGATTTCGATAATGATGTTAAGAATTATATTTTGAGATTCTTAATGATTTTGCTTATCCAAAACTTTTATGGTAATAATGATGATATAATGTGACATTTAATAATAATAATTATTATTTTTATTAAATGTTGTTCGGTTACGATTAAGAAAATTGATTATTCTGTTATTACCTTTATGTAAGAATTACAGTAATAACGATTATCAGTTTTGAATTGAGGAATCAATATGTCGTAACATTGTTATCATTATTGTTTTTGTATTGCGATGCCCACTTTGATTGAGTATGAATATTTGGTTTTACATTCATATTTTTTTTTGAGTTTGTTTTATGCATATAATTGCATAATATTATGGTTTAAATTATGCAATTTGTTTTGTGAGAATTTAATTTGTAAATGTCAACATATCATATGGTTTTGATATGGTTAGAATTTACAATTTTAAGCTATTCCTCATAAAGTTTACTATATGCATTGAATCTTTTTTGTATTGGGCATACAAGTTAAAACTTTTTAGTAATTGAAAAGTATATGGTTATTATAAATAATTGTTCAAATTTTATAATCCTTTAAGTTTTGGATTTATGTTGTTATTTGAATAATAATATTATAGCTCATTTTAAATTGTTATTATGGTGTACAATATATTTGGATATGAGCTTATTAATTGAATTTCATACATAACTGTTCACTAGCATAACATTATGTTTTCTAGTTATGTGAATTTAATTATGCCTTTGGAATTGCATAAGTTAGGAATTATAATAATTCGTTGTTTAGGTGAATTTTGTGTTTGAAATATAATTATATACGGTAGTGCATTATGTTTAAGCACATTTAGACCGTTTAGAATGTTCACTTGAGATTAAAAGTCTTTCCATATGTGAACAATTAAAGATTTGGAAAGATTGCTCGTCAATTATGCCTTTAGTGTGAGAAACATAAACCGGTGAAAAGTTTCTCGGGAAGGGGCCAATGTGCTATTAGTTCCCTTGAAACAGTACTCTGTCTAAGGAGTTGGTTATTTTTAATGAGGTTCTGTCCCAACCAACTTTCCTGGGAGTATACTTGGAATTGTTTATCATATTGCGGCATAATTGTTTTTAGGCTTTAAAGTTGTTGCCTAAGATATCAAGATAATCGTCTAGTGATCATATAATTTTGATTAATTAAGGGGAAGCCACATCATCTTTAATTAATTAAAATTTCCTGAGATCACACATAGTCATAGACATATCGATTGTGATTAATTATACATGATATAACGAAATGTAGTCCACAGTCTGTTTTGTTATATTTGTATGATTAATTAGGGTAAAAACACCAAACTATGATCATAATTCAGCCACAGAAGATTATGTAGCGGAATATAGTTTTGGTGAGTTTTATCATTACAGATAGGAAAATCAATTTATTTAACATATGGTTATAATATAAATAAATTGGCGTCTTCTATCATAAAGTTGTGATATATGTACATACTCAAAGAATATTTTTATGTGTACATTTTGTGGTATTAGGCTAGTTTCTTTTGTGTGTATTTATTATGCATGAAAAATAAAATCGGATTAATAGCTGGTAGGGTATATCCCGACCGACATGCCTCGTCTTCTCTTGTTAGGTTTACAGGTCGAATATTCCTAAAGGAAGACTGTTGGACCCGACCGGTAGATTTCCCGACCGGTGTCCTCATCGTCCGATTGATGGCCCTTGACCAAGAGATTCAAGAAGAGGCACGTGGCGACGTTACGCGTTGATAGGCAGGACTCGCCGGATGATGACACGTGGATGCTACGTGGGTTACATGCTGGCTGGCCGTAGCTGTGTCTCCGGCCTAGCAGCTATAAATACCCACGACGGCTACGGTGTGAAGGACTTTTGGAATGATCGATAGATTATCTACAGAGCTGCCTGACCGCAGTCAGTCGGCCCTCGGGATAATCATTTAGATTGTATTAGGTCCTTCCTTGATCAATAAAAGACTTTAATTGCTTTGACTTGATCGTGTTTAGTACTTTGACCCCTTTACACATAGAATTTGTACTATCATTTTGGCGCCGTCTGTGGGGACCGAGTACGAAAGCTATCGTTGACGAGTACCAAGTCCTCTTTTCTACAACCATGTATCCCTACATGTACCAAATGGCCGAGGATGAGAAAGCCGATGCAGCTAGTTCATCCGACCTTCAGCGCACACAATATCAGGGTCAGACTGTTGATCTGAACCTCAACTTATCACCACCTCATCCGGTGGCCCAGAACCCGGTCGCCTAGAACCCGATCAACTACATTCAGCCGGGATACCCACCGCCTACTCCGCAGTATCCATTCCCCGGGCAATATCCATACCCGATCCCTCCTCCACAGTATGGGTGTTGGCCTGGTACGCCGATGTATTATCCACCACCGACCATGCCTGCGCACATGGCTCCAGCTTTTTCTCCTCCGATTTACCCGACCATGACGACCTAGTCGGAGCTTCAGCCCGCCCCCCGGGCTAGGCGCTCGGCTCGTTCGAGGTTGGGGTCGTAGGGTGCCGAGGTAATGGAGGAACCACGGCAGGCTCCACAGGTTCAGCCGGAGGTACATGCTCAGGCGGAAGATCCTGAGTTAGAAGCCAACCGAGCGATGGCATTCGAGTAGCTCCGACCAGCAATGCGGTAGAGATTGGGACTACAGGTGTAACACCCCAGATTTTCAAGATATTTAAAACTTATAAAATAAAGGTGAAATCTCATTAAATCCCAAACAGAGTACGAGTGTACGGGGTGCTATGCCACACCTGAGCTAGAGAACTCAGGTGCACAGGCTAACTAACTAATGTGTCAAAGATATGAATGCATAAACATGGCACGCAGGCCGAAAGGGAAACTAACTACTTCTATGTTCCAAGCTCTAGCGCACTCCAGTGACTTAATCTTCTGTGCCTGAAAGCCAAATATATCTGTTCAGCGAGAGATGCTGCTAACCCACTCCAACGCGTTGAAATACATTACATATAGGGATATATATATATATATATATATATATATATATATATATATATATATATATATATATATATATATACGAAAACCCTTTTGAAGCATGAAGATATATCCTACGAGACTCTAGCTTTTAAAACCGGGAATGACTCGACAGATAAGGCTAGACACAAGCAACAGTTATAACAAGCGTATACAATCCACAACAGGCAAGACAGATAAAGCTGAGCATAATTAATAATCATAACCCAACATAAACAATCCCCAGCATAAATCCCTTAGTCACATCCCCCAATATACTCATAAACACAACTCCTCCATATCTCATCACATAGCACACTTTGTTGGCGCCACAGGACCAATCGCATGCCCATACATGAGGGTCAGCGCATATAGCTCTGACACGGCCCCGCAGCACCCTGCCCCGTCTCACATTACGGAGGAGCCGATCGCAACCGACTGATGGACCTTTGTCCTACATAATATTTATATACCTGACCGGTCTTTAGCAGCCTGGTTAATAGTTGGGATGGTTCTCAGCCCATTCAACTGCCCGTATAGTGGACCTTTGTCCTATATAATATTTATATACCTGACCGGTCTTTACCAGCCTGGTTAACAGCCGGTATGGTTCTCAGCCCATCCGACTGCCTGTATAGTGGAACTTAGTCCTATATAATATTTATATACATGACCGGTCTCTACCGGCCTGGTTAACAGCCGGTATGGTTCTCAGCCCACCCGACTGCCCGTATAGCCCGATTGATCTCAACCAATTCGGGGTGGCATGCACACATAACACGTAGCAAGCACATGCAACCCACATTGACATATTGGGAAGGGGAGGAAACGTATAACAAAACCTATGCGTGATCCTTCACATGCTAAGAATAGTCCTAAAGGGTTCATACTCCTTTCACCTAGGTCAGCGGGATACCAATTCAACTAGCATGCAATATATAAGACTCATACAACCTACGAACGGTACCCGAAATACCAAACTAGACATAGGCACGATAGACGGAGTCCGTTGAGACACCTCGGGGGTCGGGGGAACATCAAACGGGGAAGCCAAAATCCCCAATTGGGGTGCAAACCAGCGAGTAGCCGGTGGGTGAGGGATCACCCGCCGGCGGTAACCAAACCGGGCAGCGGGTGCCCGGCGGGCAGCTGCCCGCCCGCCGGCTGCCCGCTGCCGGCGTTGCCCAAGGAGGCCGCGGGTAGGTGGCGGGTCCCCTACCCCCACCTACCCCCCACTGACTCTTTTCATCAAGAAACGCCCCAGGAACCTTTATGGAACCCGAAACCATGCTTGGACACTTTCAAACGCAATTGATAACACACGTAGACAATTAACGGATCAAAATCAGGAAACAATCGGCACATAACCTATCATGCTTTTCTAAACATAATAAACACCCAATCATGCGAATTCCCACCTAATATACCCAGAATAATTCCATACGATACAACCTAGGGTTCTAGTCACTTTTATGCCAACAAGAATACGATTCGTCTTCTAATTACAATATTCGGTACAAATAACACATAAGTATCAAGAACGACATACAATTATCAAGAACAACATATAATTATCAAGAACTCTACGTAATCATTAAGAACACCATAATTATCAAGAACTCTACGTAATCATTAAGAACACCATAATTATCAAGAATCTCCCGATATCAAGATCACCCATGGAATTATCCCATCCGTCATCAATAATAACATCACAGATCATCAATACACAATAATATGGGGAAATCCTACGGGGGAAATCATAGCTATGAAAATAGGTTTTGTTGAGACATGGGTTACCTCTTAGCCTTAATTAATTCCTTGGCTATGAAGGGTCTTTCTTTATGCTTTCTTGCTTTCTTGATTTCTTCTAGGGGGATTTTTGGAGCTCTTTGGGGAGGTGGGGCGTTATTCTTGTGGGGGGGGGGGGTTTCTAGGTGCCTCTTAAGTCCCCTATTTATATATTTAGGAGTCCTAGTTGGGAACTAATATTATGAGCTTGCTAATTCTATTTCTTTTGGGACTAAGGGTTGGGTTTAGGGATAAGGGCCCGTGGACTATGGTGGGCCTTTCCTAATTAATTATTGTGTTTTAATTCTTTCTTTTGGGTAATTGATTAAATGATTTAATTGATCTTAGGGGTCGTAACACGGGGTGTTACAACAGGATCCAAGCAGGCGCTCGGTAACTCTCCAATGCGAGCAGCAAGCCAGGAGAGGTCGTCCGGCTGTAGTGGATCCAAGTCACATCGACAACGCCATGCTCGGGAACAAGCCCAAACGGTTGAACATGATGAGACCCGAGCAATGCTCAACGAACTTCGGGCGGAATTCACTCGTTGGCAAAACGAGCACGCTGTGAGGCCTCCGACCGATCATTCAGCCTCCCTGTTGAGGACACCCTTCACGGCGGAGATTATAGCCCAGCCTTACCCGCTCAATTTGCGCGTCCCCGGAAACAAGGAATATGATGGGCGCACAGACCCAGAAGTTCATGTGAACACCTGCTACGGAAACATGCTGATGATGGGCGTGTCTGATGCCGTGATGTGTATGGCTTTCTATTCTGAGCTCACAGGTCGGGCGGCGGAATGGTTCAGATCACTTCAACCGGGCTCCATTTATGATTTTGCTAGTTTGGCAATGAAATTTAACCGGAAGTTTGTGACCTCCAATGTCCTTAGGAAGCCCTACATGTACCTCGAGAAGGCCAAGCAGTTAGAGGGGGAAAGCTTGTCCGAATTTTTAGTCAAGTGGAAGGCGGCGGTCGGGGAGGTTGAGCCGATGGACGATCTGACGGCCATCCATATGCTACACATCTCCTTTCGGGCCGGTTATTTGTATTAGGATTTCATCCTCCATCCGCCAACCACCTATGAGGAAGCCTTCCGTAGAGTGACGGATTACGCTAATGCTGGTGAGGCTAATGCCGTCAAGAGGTCGCAGGAGGTCGGGACATCATCCTGGAAGCCCTCCGGTCAGGCGACGACCATCCCCGACCTTGCACCCGGCCAGGAGAGTTCACGGCGTTGAACCGATCGGCGGCAGAGGCATGCAATATGCCAAATCATGCAACCTTATTCGTCTACCCCATCCCGGACCGGAGGGGAAGGATAAGTCCAAACATTGCGCTTATCACCGTTGCGCCGGGCATGATACGGAGGAATGCACACATTTAAAACAGCCGTTGGAGGATTTGCTTCAGTTGGGCAAGTTAGATAAATGTGTTGGCAAAAGAGAAGAGAGCAAGAGAGCAACCGATCGGCAAGATCACAGACGTTCCCATCATCGTTCAAACCCATCGGATCAGGACCGCAGAGATCCTGATCCTCAATCTAGCAGCCGATCGGCGTCCAAACCGACCATTCATGTTATATTTGGAGGTTTGGAAGATGCTTCCCGACCTCGGGAAAGTTGCTCGGTTGCGATCGTAGATTCCCGTGGCACCGGGAAGAGGCAAAAGATGGAGCCCATCACCTTCTCTCTGGAAGACCAACCGGAAAGCGGAGACCATGGGATGGAAGCCCTCGTGGTCACGATTGATATTATGGGGACCTATGTCCAAAGAGTAACGGTGGACACCGGGAGCAGCGTGAACGTCCTTTATTTGGACGTGTTCAAGAAGCTGAAATTGGACAAGCGAGAGCTGATTCCGGTCGGCGTACCCTGGTCAGGATTTACCGGGGCAACCATACGCCCCGAGGGAAAAATTATGCTCCCGGTGAAAACAGAGTTGGAGTTTGTTGTGGTCAATCTACACTGCGTCCACAACGTTATCTTGGGCCGACCAGCCATTATGAGGGTCGGCGGAATCATTTCGATGCCGCATTTGTGCATGAAGTTCCCCACCCCGGCCGGGGTTGGAGTTGTACGCGGCGATGTCCAGTTGGTAAGAAAATGCTACACCCAGGCTGTCAATCGGCGTGATGCTGGTTCTTCCCGAGTGAACACTATTGTTAAGGAAGCCACTGGAGATCGAAAGGAGTAACCCGTGCCCTCCGAGGAGATTGAAGAGGTTCCTTTGTTTGAGGAACGACCGGACAGGAAAAATCAAGATTGGTCGGGCCCTCACTCCCGAATTATGACTGGAAGTATTAGCGATCCTCCGGGAATTCGCTGACATATTTGCATGGGGGCCTGAAGACATGCCCTGGATCGATCGCACCGTAATTTGCCACAAGCTAGCTGTAGATCCCGCGGCAAAACCAGTCGTTCAGAAGACTCGGCATCTATTATCCGATCACCGAGAGTTTGTCCGAGAGGAGGTGAAAAAGAAGGCAGTGATTGAGCACATCCGACTGGTCACTTATCCCGAATGGGTGGCCAACATTGTACTTGTTCCCAAGCCTCCATCCTGGAGGATGTGCATCGATTTCACCGACCTCAACAAAGCATGTTCGCTCGATCCATACCCGCTGCCGAGCATTCATCAGATGGTTGATGAGACGGCAGGGGCCGAGCTCATGAGTTTCATGGATGCATTCAAAGGTTATCATCAGATTATGATGCATCATGAAGATGAAAGCAAGACGGCCTTTGTCACACCAGATGGGTTGCATTGCTAACGAGTGATGTCGTTCGGCTTCTGCAATGCAGGAGCAACTTATCAAAAGATGGTCAATATGCTCTTCGCGGACGTATTAGGCCGAACGATGGAAGCTTACACTGACGACATGCTGGTAAAGAGTCGAGACCGAGCCGACCACACTCGGGATCTCCAACAATGTTTTCAAATCATGAGGAAGTACCAGCTGCGATTGAATCCCAACAAGTGCACATTTACGGTGCAAACGGGAAAGTTCCTCGGCTACATGATGACCAAGAAAGGAATCGAGCCCAACCCCGCCAAGGTCAAGGCTATTCTTGATATGCAACCACCCACGACCGTGCGGGAGGTGCAACAATTGACCGATAGGTTGGCAGCCCTGAGCCGTTTCCTTTCCAAATTGGTCGAGCGCGCCTTACCATTCTTCAAGGTATTGCGCAAAGTTAATGGGTTCGTGTGGGATGATGAGTGCCGAGCGGCTTTTGACGAGCTAAAAGAGTATCTGATGTCACCGATCGTATTGTCAGAGCCCGAGCTCGGAGAAGAACTAGATATCTATCTCGCCGTTTCCGATCGACCGGTAAGTGCGGTTATATGCCGAACAGATTCGAAGGGAGTCCAGCGACCGGTTTACTATGTGAGCCACGTGCTCCATGGTCCCGAGCTCTGGTACTCCTAGCTAGAAAAGATAGTTTATGCTTTGTACATAGCTGCAAAGAAGTTGGCCCCCTACTTTCAAGGTCGAGCCATTCATGTGTTAACCGATCAGCCGATTGGGGCAGTTCTCCGTACCGCTTCTTCTTCCGGATGCCTAGTCATGTGGGCGTTGATGCTGACTCAGTATGCAATCGAATACCAACCGAAACCAGCTATAAAAGGTCAAGCTTTGGCAGACTTCTTGGTCGAGTGCACCGCTCGGGAGACACGACCCCCAGAGGTCGAGGATCCCGAGGCGGCATGGTGGTCCTTGGCCACTGATGGGTCGAGCAGCAAGAAAGGAGCAGGTGGAGGGGTCGTGGTTACAAGCCCAGAAGGATTCAAAGTTTACTATGCATTGATGTATCAGTTCCACCCGACCAACAATGAAGCCGAGTATGAGGCCTTTGTCAATGGCCTACAGTGTGCTTGAGACTTGGGGGCTGAATACATCTGGGCTCAGACTGACTCTCCAATAGTGGTCGGGCAGGTCTTGGGTGATTATGAAGTTAACGGGGAAAGGCTACAGGCTTACCTGGACCTTGCCATGGAGAAGCTCACTTTGTTCCGGAGGTACACCGTTTGTCATGTTCCCCGACTAGACAACGCCGATGCCGATATCTTATCTAAGTTGGCTCAAGATGCCCCTGAACACATGTCCAAGATAGCTCGGATTCTGATGATCCCGAGGCATAGCATACACCGATTGCCGGTCGCACCTATCCAACCGGTCGAGGAAACTTGGATTTCGGATCTTATGGAATATCTTCAGCACGGTCGGTTACCAGACGACCCCCAACACGCCCGGTAAGCCAAGTTAAGAGCACCCAGATTCCAAGTTCAAGAAGGCCGTTTGTACAGGCGGTCGTATGGAGGTCCATTGATGCGTTGTTTGACTTCATTCGAAGCGGACCTTGTGATGAAGGAATTGCACTCGGGCATCTGCTCGTCGCACCAGGGAGGCCGATCACTCGCCCGACGTATTATGGTTATCAGGTACTACTGGCCATCTATTCAGCTCGATTGTGAAAAACTTGCAAGAGGTTGCGAAACATGCTAGTTATATGCTCGGATGCCTGGACGACCGGCCACGTTCTATCAGTCGGTCACGACCGCAATTCCTTATGCTCGTTGGGAGGTGGATATTTTGGGACCTTTCCCGCAGTTATCCGGTCGGAAACGCTTCGTCTTCGTGGCTATAGATTATTTCTCTAAGTGGATCGAGGCCGAGCCATTAGCACGATCACTTCTCGACAGTGCGCCAGGTTCCTATGGCGAAATGTTATCTCCCGGTTTGGCGTGCCCGTTCATCTGATCAGTGACAACGGCCGGCAGTTCGTAAGCTAATATTTCCAGAATTTTCTAGCAACGATCGGGACAACCTCAATCCAATCGTCGGTGGCTTACCCCCACGGCAATGGTTAAATTGAGAATGCTAACCGTACAATTTCGGAAGGTTTGAAGAAGAAGTTGCACTCGGTCGGTCGCAGCTGGGCTGATGAACTTCCTTATGTACTTTGGACCTATCGCACGACCCCGAGGAAGGTAACGTTGGAAACGCTGTTTTCTTTAGTCTATGGCGCTAAAGCTCGGCTACCGATCGAAGCATGGTACTTACCGGTTGGAGACAACGACCGCGAGAGTAATCGAGGGCACGTGGAACTTAGAGAATCTTGTCCTATTCAGACACTAATGTAATTAAGTAGTTATAGATGGAGTGGGGGCTCGACCTGCGAGTGGACCCGTCCATCGTTAATTTCCTTTGGAAATGTTGTAAATATTTAACTGTCTGCGTACGGGAATTAATAATGTAATAACGATCGGTGATTGCTCGACCGTTTGTACACAGCGGCCCGATCGGTTTTCGTATCACTTAAATGTGAAGTAGGTTGCTTTAGATCTACTTCAGCAATCGGTCTTGCTCGTGCTTCGCCCGGCCGCGACTCAGCATCAACGAACGAGAGGGGCGAAAGCCCCACGACCACAATGTCGCTTAAACTTGCCCGATTAAACCGGGGTCCAATTTCAGTTATAACTGGTCAAGGTCCATACCTCTCCCTCGGTCCCGGCCGAGAGGGGTATAAACCTAATTGGCTCTAATAGCCATCTACACCTTAGCTGGACGAATTCTAACCGCCGGCCTAAAACGCTCATCTTCGGCAGATACTAGGGTCATGCCATCGATCGGGAAACGCAGAGCTTCATCAAGATATTCCCGATCAGTATAACTTCTTTCCACTATCGCACTCACTCGTGCAATGCTCGGGCAAGTCCCGAACAAAAAGGCCAACAAGTCTTCAATAGGCCAGTAGGCCAGTAGGTCGGGACACGAACGACCATGTCAGTGGGCCAATAGTTCGGGGAAAGAACGACCAAGAAGTGATTAAATTGAAATAGCAAAAAATGAGCAAAGACAAAAGCTTGGCAAAAGTTAATATTATTAAACAATAAAAGCGCCCGGTACAAAGCGGGACCAGGCTCCCAATGGAGTACACTTCAAAAGAAAGCAAAAATAAAGTCATTACATGGTCGGAAGCTACACGACCTTATCTACTTTCTCTGCAGCGCCGCTAGGCTCGACCGTATCCTCGGAGGCGGAGGGATCGGTGAAAGGCGCTGGTCCGGGGTCAGGGACCTCGTCCGGAAGGGTTGACAGGACGGACTTCAGGTCGTCGCCCTCAAAGACCTCCTCCATAATGGATCGGGTCTCTTCCCTCATGGTCCGCTGGCCGGACTTGAACGCCCAATGACCGAAGACCCAAATCATGTCCTCACCGAACTTGTTCTTCATCAGCTCCTTGAAGAACTTTTCAGCAGAGGCCTCATCCTGACAGAGGAACCTCGCCAAGACCTCAAGGTTGCCCAACCGGGCCTTCAGCTCGGCTGTTTCTGCTAGCGCTTCCCGAGCAGCCTTCTCGGCGATGCCTTGGGCATCTTTGTCCTTCCTCAAGTTGGCCTGAAGTTTGGCATTCTCCGCTCGTCACCGCTCGGCGACCTTCTTTAGAGCGTCGGCCTCGTTGGCCAACAACGCTCGGCGTTGTAAGTATTGGGAAGCTCGGGACAGCTGTAACAGAAATACATTATCTCGTGTGACAACAATTGCATTTGAAAATCGAAGGGAAGTGAAATGTTACCTCGACCAGCTCTTGCCCGATCCTCTCGGCAACTTGCTCGGGTGACAGCTCGGTGATGTCCTCCTTGATCGGTCAGAGTTTACCGATCTGCGTAAGTATGGACTCATCGCCCGTGATAGCCCCGCTCGGGAGGCTGCCCTGCTTTCGTCGGCACTTCAGTGCGTCGCCGTCCTCTCGGTCCTTGGTGACCACCTTCTCCTTGCCCTTACGGGCAGTCGCTCGTGGAGCAAGAGCGTCGGATGTCTCGACCACGGCCCCTTCGGCCGTAGTGATTGTTGTAGCGCCTAGCGGGCGAGCGTCGGGGATGGACCTGCCCTCCGCCTCCGTGTCGCCGGACGACCCAGCGTTAGATTTCTTCTTCCCGAGCGCAATTTTGGCTCGGAGGGCTCGGGGTGTGACTGCATCTTTAAAGTTGCGTGGCGGACCCATCTCGGCAAACAAATTCAAACGGTTAGAAAACCAAATCGAAATATGATCGGGGAGTTAGGATCGGGAAAGCTAGGTTAGCGTTAGACCTTCGTTCGTCGGCTCGACCTGAGGAGCCGCCACTAATATCGATACGCCCATCGGGCTTCATCGTAGCTCTCCCGCGATCGGAATATCTTGTATTCA